AATATATTATTTGTACAACTTATAACAATAAACAATAACATTTTTGCCAAAAAACAAAATCACATTTTGGATTTGGTACTAATTTAATTAATACATAACTTTAACAAAATAAAAAACAATATCACATCTTGGATTTGGTACTAATTTACTTAATACACAACTTTAACAAAATAAAAAACAATATCACATCTTAGATTTGGTACTAATTTAATTAATACATAACTTTAACAAAATAAAAAAAAAAATATATCACATTTTGAATTTGGTACTAATTTAATTAACACATAACTTAAACAAAATAAAAAACAATATCACATTTTGGATTTGGTACTAATTTAATTAATACATAACTTTAACAAAATAAAAAACAATATCACATTTTAGATTTGGTACTAATATAATATACATAACATTTAATATATGAAATAATAATAATATCACAACTTTCTTTATAATAACAATTTTAAAATACTTGACTGATTCTGTTAGAAAAAAAATAGCATCATTTTTTTAAGCCATTTATCCATGGTTATTAAATTATTTTAGTAAATATTTATAAACAAAAAAGGTAACAGCTATAATTTACTTGATTACTAATAACTAATGAGAAGGTATAATGACTAATTGGCATTAATTATTAACTAATAATAAAGTAAAAACTATTAACTAATCAGTACTACTGATGTGTGATACGCATTTAGTCTATCACGCTAGTATGCCGAAATACTTATTTGTAGTACTATCTTATCGTCGATAAGTTATCGTAAATATAATGATGGTTTCTTCGTTTATCGTTACTGTTGATTGCACACGATTGATGTTTGACAGTGACAGTTTAGTTTTAGACGTCGTATTGTTAGTAGGTGAAGTGCGTATATTTTTGGAATTCAGAATAATATTTTTGCATATTTAACATTTTTAATGCATATTTTGCAATTTTTTCGTCCATATTTGCATGCATATTTTACCTTTTTTAGCTCCTACAACTTCCGAGCCCTAATTATAAGTATCTTTAATATTACCTATTTAAACGTATTTAAATGTATTTAAATGTATAAATATTTCAACATTGTTTTCTTATTATTTGCTATTGCTATTGCTATTGCTTATTTGATTAGTTAGGTGGCTTAGTTGTTAATTTATTTAATTCAAGTGACTATTAAAATAATATGTATAATTAGGGATTTAATAAATTTAAATGTATTCAAAGTTGTATACGTAAGCTTTTATTTACACGATTCTATGTTTTTATAACAACTTAAAAAACAAAATTTTACCCATGTTGACATCTTGTGTACAATAATATTACACATTATTTCCCTTAAATTGAATAATGTCTTGAAATATAGTAAAATAATAATAATAAAATAATATAGGTAAGCTTTTATTTACACGATTCTATGTTTTTATAACAACTTAAAAAACAAAATTTTACCCATGTTGACATCTTGTGTACAATAATATTACACATTATTTCCCTTAAATTGAATAATGTCTTGAAAAATGAAATAATTATACCCAAGTTATATAATGTGTATACCTATATTATTTTATTATTATTATTTTACTATATTTCAAGTGGTATTAGGTAATGTATTCTTATTTTTCAAACAGTGGATCATGGGAAATAGTAATGTGCCACATTTGCAATTCATATGGAACACATAGAGTGTGTAGTTTTCTTAAATGTTTCCATGATTGGAGCTGTAAAAATTGCATTGGCATTAAAGGTATGATTTACAATTATTACCTTAATTTAGTATATTAAGCTATGTTTTATGACTGTGTTTCTCATTTTTTTTTGTCCTGTGATCAACAAATTAGTATGACTGCTTTCAATAATCAAAAAAATCAATACCTAAGCCATATATTTTCCTAATATAGTAATAGTAATAATCATTTTTATTAAAGGCAAATTTCTAATTCTGTTGAACATATAGATTATTTTTAAATTTAAATTAATTGGTTTGTTTTGTATTATAAGCACACGTTGGTTCATGAAAGCAACCTATCATAAATATTTTGTAACCAAATACAGAGTTACTAACTTGCTACTAAGTTGAGTTTAAGAGTACCTTACACTCGCATGTGTTGTCTTCATCTTAAAAGTGCGTAACACAGCAAATTTTACGCTCAGCAGATCAAATTTAGCTCCTTTAGTTTAAAATCAAAAATACATTGAAACTTCCATATAACAAACTTCTATTTAATGAAATTTTTTGTTTAACAAATTATTTTTGAGAACTATGACCTTCATTTTATATCATGTGTATATGCATCCTTATACATCAAATTTGAACTTTCCATGTAACGAATAAACTGTTCGATAACAAACCTATTTTTGTAAACTTTGTCAAATATCAAATATTGTTTTAAAAATTATACCTTTGATTTTATTGTTTCTCATAAAGATCAGACATTGATAGGCAAGCCGGTTAATTTGATTGCAGTACCGAGTGCTGCAGTTCTAATACTGGCCTAAATAGAATTGTACAAAATGCCGAAACGTAAATGATTGTTGATTATCAATAAATTTTAAATTTTAAATGAAGTCGATAAAGGAATAAAAAAAAAAAAGTTATTACTGAAAAATACAGTAGGTATTCTGACAAGTTTGCTTTTGATTATATTAAAAACCATTAAACATTGTAAAACAAGTGCAGGAATCTTCTCTCWTTGGAAATAGAAAACGAATGAAAGTGTGTGTTTATGAAGAAGTTTATAAAACTGTTTCTAAGTGAATGACTTGTTTACAGAATAATAATCTTCTTATATTTGGTACCTATATCAGGTTAAGAAAAAGCAATTTAATTTGCTCAGAAACTTGGTTTTATAGATTTCTATGCCTAGCTCTGGGTGATTAAATAAATTTAAATCAAGACACAATGTTGTCTTTAAAGTTGTTTGTGGTGAGAGTGCTGATGTTCTTATTTTAGAGTGAATTGACCATTATTAATTTAAAGGTAAGATTATTATCTAGGGTACAGTGTGTTCTATTATAAATTATATGTTATTACCTTTTTGAAAACATAAAATGTATTGCCTTTAAATTTATTAATGGGTTAATTCTCTCTAATTTAAAAATAACAAAGTAAAATGGATTTTCACGTACAATTTGCTATACTGAACGTTTGTAAGACGAATACAACACATGTGAGTGCCGTGTCTTCTATGATAAGTTTGTTAAGGATATTATTAATTATTATTGATTATTATTAATTATTTTTTKWGTMKACATAAATTAAGCCGAACTCATTAAGCTCTAATTTGAAAATATTATCTTCATTATTTTAGCTATTTGATTTAKATATATATATATTTTAATTATTCAATAATGGATTTTAGATAGTTTGAATTTTAATGGTATATCATCTGATATACGTGAAGAAAAAATGCTGTCTCCAAACAAAAATATGGTCATAGATCACATGGATGCCTCCTCAGAAACTATACTCAACAATTCTATAGAGCTCTCAAAAAGGCATGGTTGCAATGTTAAAAAATGTCTTTGTCCTTATAAAGAAAAACAAAATTTTCAAGAAGAAATGTAAGTAATTGTTTTTAGTAATAATAATGATATTGTTTATTTTACTTCCCAAAATCAAACAGTACAGTTTATTAAATATGTTGAAGTATATTGAATAATACTACTTAATAATGTCATAGTTATAAGACATATATATGATGCTATTATTATACCATAATTCATATAGCATTATTATATTTTTTATTTTTCTAATAGTGGATCATGGGAACTACTACTATGCCACACATGTGGTTTTAATGCAACTCATAGGATATGCAGTTTTGTTAAATGTTTTCAAGTATGGTACTGTACAGCATGTCAAGCCGATTCAGCAGCAATTATTAAATAATCTAATTTTAATTTCATTTAACAGCGATAATAATAGTGTACAGGTAATATATTTTAAATGTTTTCAGTTGATAAAAGGTGTGTGTTATTGAAATGTTTTTATTTACAAATTTACATATTGTGATTTTAATATTTTACATTTAAACAATAATTTATTTGAGAAGTATATTAAGTAACTTCAGAGGTAAAATAATAATTTTCAATTATGTATAGTCTACTATTTTGATGAATGGATCATAGCAGGAAAAATGTCTCACTGTCCATGACATCATTATGCCGTTTATCATTGTTGATAAAAGTAGAGAAACATAGACAAAACGCATTTGTGCGGAATCACTTTTTCTATGAATTTTAAATAATCTTATTAAAAAAAATGTATTTGAATAGTAAGTTATTTCTTTTCTGCCTTAAATCAGAATAAAATTCTTCATATTATCATAAATATAAGAAATTATTTATTATAGGTAGCCTATGTATAATTTTGGTTTATCTATTTAAAACAATAAAAAGTACCTACTATTAAAATAATAAGTGAAACTGAAGGCAGCAGTTTTATATACTACCTATAGCTATAAGCAGAGGCCAGGTGGGACAGTGGGAATAGTCCTACGACCTGACCGAATTATGTATATTTTTAGCTTTAAGAGGACGCTACACCCGCATGTGTTGTCTCCGTCTTACAAGTGCGTAACATTGCAAAAACTGTTTCGCGCGGGAAAGAACCGAGAAGGCTACAGYTATAACTAAGAAACGAAATTTTCACCACATAATAAGCAGAACATTTACTGTGCAACKTCGTTTTAAATTTTTCGATATCACAAATAGAAAAAAAGTTCTTATTGTTTCAAAATTCATTATTTTTGCGTTTTTCAAAATTGAATAACTTTTTTTTCAGTTCTAATATCAAAAAAATAAAAACAATGTTGCACAGTCGAAATTCCCTTTTATCTGTGGTGAGAATTTTGTTTTTTAGTTATGACTGTAGTCTTCTCTGTTCTTTCCCGCGCGAAACAGTTTTTACAATGTTACGTACTTGTAAGAAAGACAACACATGCGGGTGTAGCGTCTTCCTAAACTAAAATAAAATAAATGATAATTTAAAATAAATAAAATAATAAAATAATATAATTTTAATGATTATTAAAATAAATCTATGTATATTATTGGTAATTTTTAATATGGAATGGTTATAAATGCAAGTTGTCATTAATAAATAATAAAGAAAATAAACAATTTTATTCAGCCTAGTTCAGTGGTACTTCTATTTAAACCTTAATATATTTATTTAATTAGGTATACAGGGTGATTTTTTTTATCGAAGGACACTCATTATTTAAAAAARTATTGACTTTTTTCAAAATATTTTTTTACATAGTTTCAACTTGTTAAAAAACAAACGTTTTTATTCAAAAATTATATTTTTAAATGTTTTTTATCCTTATCATTTTTAAGTTTTTTACTTTTTTGAATGACGACATAGAGTTTTAATTTCATATTCCAAAGCAGAATATTTTTGTATTAAAATATTACATAAAATATGTCATTATAATTYTTTAGTCAGATTGATTGTTACTTTTAAATAAAAATAAAATTTCATGTCGTATTATAAGAAAACATTAATTACCTTGGCCGTGTCCTAATATTATGTCCACTTGAGTTAAAAACTCTTCAATACTTAGCTCGGAGTTATGAATTCCTAACCAAAAAATTATAATGTCATATTTTATGTAATATTTTTATTTTTATTGTACCTACCTATAACATTGACTGTAATAATTGTATTATAAATTATTGCTATTATTTTTAACAACGTCAATGTTTTCTTGTAYGACATATCACATATGTATAATAAATAAACCGGACTTTTATTCCCCGGACTTTTAGGTAGAATACCCTTCACTCAATGTTGATCTACGGTAATCGTTGATTTTTTCAATGAGCATATTCGTCTTTGCACTGATAGTACTAACTGGTAATGTAAGAAATATTCTCCATTGAAGTAGTATTTTTTTTTATGGTATCTTCTAATTTCAAGTCAGTTATATAAATTTCAAGTACGTGTAAACATTATGTATGCTCTTCATTCTCATGGTATTGTTTACTGTAAATTTAGTCACAGTCCAAGGCCGTTATGGGGGGGGGGGTAAAGTTCAAACCCCCCCTCCGAAATATTTTACAACTAATAAATTTAATTTATAATTTTGATTTTTTTTTTAAATAAGTGTTTTTTAATTAATTAACATGATAATATTATTTGATTTAACGGGCGCCCGGGAGCGTATTTCCGAACCCTAACTGAKCTGATCCACGCACAACATAGACAAAACACATTTGCGCAGAATCATTTTTTCTTTGAATTTACAACATTATTTTATTTATTTTGAAAGTCAAATAACAATGAAATATAAAATCGATGTGTCATTCCCTCAAAAATATTAGGTATTATCTATCTTTTTTGTAATGAGTGATTTTACTCTACGATTAGGTACTTAAAAATATAGAAAAACTGATTCTGCGTAAATGCGTTTTGTGTTTTGCGGTAACGCGTGGGTCAGAGAGCCTTTGTATTATATTTTTATATACCTATTAAAAAATATTTTTTTCATATTATTTATTTTTTGAAAAAATTTATGGTCCTTATATTATATTTGTAAAATGAGTATTGGCATTCTTTATAAAAATTATTTCATATTTGACTAATTTTATGGACCTTGTTGTATATTAAATTAGTTAATCTGTATGGAAGTATTTAAAAAAATATTAATTATTTGACGAAAAATATTTTTATATGTTAAAACAATAATAATTAGTTAATAAACATTATATATTCGTATTAATATGGCGTGCTATACTTTTGTGGCCCAATCTCCGGGTACATTTTAAAAATATAGATTTAATTTGTGGCCCAATCTCCGGTTGCGTATTTCAGAACCCTAACTGAGCTGGGACACTAGTGCCCGAATCCGGTTATAGACTCCGTTGTGCGCGTCTTCACTACGTTCCCTAACTGATTTAGGGCACACTATTAAATATTCGTGTAAAAGCATAGTTTTGTACCTATATTAATTACATTTACATAATAATACATTAAATTACGGACCATACAATATTGTTGACATATATATGCTATTTACAACTTAAAATATTAAACTTGTACATACATTAGTAATTAGTATATATATAAACTATATTCACAACACACATACTATAATTATATAAAAGTTAGAAACTTATAAGTTATAACTAATACAATATATGTTGTTAGTATATTTTTTTTTTGTACCTAAATTAGTATTTTACTATTTTTAAGCTTTAGTAGTTTAATGCTAATAAACAAGTAAGTATAATAAATAATTCAACTAATACATTTTCGACAAATTGGAGTCCAACCAACTTCACTTGCAAGAAGAAAAGTAGGATTGACTTTAGGTTCAAAAAGAGTTCAAGCAGGGAGACCTACTGAAAATGCTCCACCAAACAAAAAAAGAAAACTAAATCTAGCTAGCAATATTGACGAAAATAAATGTAGCTCCAAATCGCACTAACTTAAAAATATAATACAAAGGCTCTCTGACCCACGCGTTACATACACAAAACACAAAMCGCATTTACGCAGAATCAGTTTTTCTATATTTTTAAGTAATCGTAGAGTAAAATCACTCATTACAAAAAAGATAGATAATAATATTTTTGAGGGAATGACACATCGATTTTATATTTCATTGTTATTTGACTTTCAAAATTAAACAAAATAATGTTGTAAATTCATAGAATAAATGATTCTGCGCAAATGTGTTTTGTCTATGTTGTGCGTGGATCAGAGATAGAAAAATAGTGCGCTGACATCCTCTTAAATATTATTTTTATTTTTATTTTTTTATTAGGGTTAAGGCTTCGACAAGACGACAACTGAGGTCATTAGCCTGGGGGAACTGTAGGGGAAGGTATTGTAGGTTTTAAGCACGTGGGTATTTTTGCCAGAATTTTGAATGGGCACCCGTAGGTTTCTGCCATGCCCGGTTGGGGGGCGGCGGCCTCTCTCCAGACACCGCGATATGCCCAAAGAGCGATGCCGCCCGTGACCGAGGTTCGAACCGGCGACTGCGTGCATGGCAACAGACGCCTTAGTCCGCTCGGCCAGTTGGTGTTAGATTCACCACTGCTTCTTCGTCATGTTTATTTTAACCTTTTTGCAACATCCCTGAATTACAGTGGACTTTGCTTAAATTACCAGCCTTGTATAATTATACTGTTAACCATTAAAATATTATATAATATTACTATATATAAATGTTTAATTATTTATGTAGGTAGSGTTTAACTTATATTTTTGTTTCAAAAACAATTTACACGTTATAGTAACTCCTCTACGAGTAAAGGTACATGGATTCTAAAATTTTTAGTATTGCTTATAATTATATGTAGGTCTATTCATATTGTCATTTTTGCAGGTATAAACTTCAGACAATGGGTTAGGTCAAAAAAACAGATGCAACATATGAATCAGGCAATAATTGGACTGTCGGGTGATATTATATTATATTATGCTTATTATGTTCAAAATTATAAAAAATAATACWAATTCATTGATTTCCCCTGCATTAGGTTTTTTGCTATTTAAATTATATAAACTACTTGCTACTATTTTCTGAGATGAAATATAATAGTTTCTACCCAATTTTTAAATATTTTAGATAATTTTTAGTTTATTTGAATAAAAATTGTATAATAGAACCCATCATTATTCATCTAACTATGGTAAAATGTATGTTATTGCATATTATTTTTTTTTTTTATATTTAATCGTTTATTTTTTCTTGAATGTTTAATGATCACATTTTTGTTATACGGTTACACTTTCAGTTATGTGTTAACAACTGAAGCTTATATAAAATAATAATAGTGATGACAATAAAAAAAATACAAGAACTACTCTAATGTAACTAAAATAAAATGTTGTGCTGTTCCTCATATATTATATTATTGTACTATTATTTTATTTTTTTATTGAATATTTTAAAACCTCAGTTTTTGTCATGCTATTATATTTTTCTCATTATGTGTTTTGAATTGAAGCTTATATAAAAATAATAATTACTCATCTACTGTAACCTAAGGTAATATGTTGTATTGTAATTAAGTTTTTGTTTAAACTATCATATTGTAAATTATATTTGTTACGAATATACAAATTGTCTGGTAGAAACATGAATCTAGTTGGTACTCATTATGGGCAGGGGAAAGAAATGAAATTCTCAAAATATTTAAATTTTTTAAAGTTATTATAGACATTTGAAATTTTAGTTTTTATCTTATAATTAATGTCAACCAAATGTTTTTTGGGTCAAAAATCTTGAAAATTTAATTCAAGGTTCTTCATAAGTTGATATAGCAGTTGGAAAATATTAAAACTACATCATAATATGCACGTTTATTTTTTTATGTATATGCTTTTCTGCTTWAAGTTTTTACAAGTTCTCAAGTTGTTAAAAATTTATAAAACGTTGAACTTTATAGCTAAGGATTAAACATTGAAAGAAAGTTTCATGTAAGTATTTATTTTTGGAAAAAAAATCTAAAATCTATACAATCACAGTTATTTTATTGTTATTTATGTTCCAATTTTGATTAAAATTACATATTACATGATCAAGAATAGCTATTTAAGTTATATTGTAGTAATTTGAAAATAGTATTCTAATTGTAATAGTTAATTTCGCTAATGACTTATATTAATACTTTATACTACTTATATATTGTATATATTATAAATGACTGAGTAAGTCGGGTACATAATGAATCTGATTTGAATAATTTGGAAAAAAATAACATAGTAGGTAATTAACTTAGTATAAAATGTGCTAGACTGACAAACCGTTAACTATCGGGATCTTTTTTCATAAACAATGATAAATAATTTAATTAAAATTACAGTTACCAACTTGTAACACGCTGCAGTGTGACATCCACATGMCTAATTTTTTTTAGTTTTTTTAGTTTTTTATTCTGAACTAAATATCTAACTAACTTGACCTCTAACCTCTTTACTGATTAGGTTTTTACTTTGCATATTGGTGATAACTGATAATACTGCTGTAATAAAATATTAAAATTGTTAGTAAATACAATGGCAGTAAATTCCAAAGGAATAAAAAAGCACCAAAAATATTAATTTCGCACAAATATAAAATTCATAGTTCTACCACAGACTATATGAAAACAAATAGCTCACTCGGCCTAAAACAATGGCAAAAAGTAATAAGATTCTCAGTGTAGCTGCATGCATTTAACTAAATTATTGTTCAGATGTTATACAATATTTGTTATATATTTTGTATGTACTATTTAATACCATTTAGTATTTACCATTTCAAAATCTTATTTCCATTTAATAAAGATCGAAAATTGTAGTTAGCATGAYAAGATCGATCTATTTTATTATAATAAATGATGAATTGATCAGTAAGTTAATGACATAAATCTGTTAAAGGCAATACTTATTATTTTATTAGTTAACACAAGCTTTTCAAGACTGGTATAGATACAAATATTTAACACATATATTTTCCGTGTAAGACTGGTATAGATACAAAATATATATTACCTTTACCAAATCTGAAATCATGTAACCAATATTATATTATATAGTATATACAGTACCTATATCATATCTGATACACATAGATATTAAAACAGAAGGGACTTTTTTAAATAAATAAATAAATAATTACGTATTAAGTATCTCACTGTATATTGCAATACATTAAATGTATTATAATCAAAAACTTAAAAAACTTATTCCGTACCTATATGGATACGTCTACATATCATATATAAATGAAAAAAAAAAATATTAGGTATCACTTTCTCCTTGGTGCTTGTTTTAACCAATCACTAATTTGGTTTTTTATGAGTGGTACAGGTTCGTCAGGAAATAAGTGTTTCACACTATCTATAACAGAATTATATATAGAGATGAAAAATGTATAATAAGTTGAATAGGTTTTTATAGTTTTGACATTGATCAATCATCTAATCAGCATAGCATTGTTTTAATAATAAAAAAGAATTAACTTACCTACTAAAATAGTGTACAAGTCCATTTTAACAAATGCTAACTTTATGCCCCTTTGGCCTTTTGCCATCGACATTCAAATGTTCAGCTACTCTATTGTCCATTAATATTTTTAGCATTTGATAAGTAGTACGCTTGGAATCAAAAGATTTCCCATTCCTGCGAAGTACTTGAGCCTAGTTGATAATTAAACTGTTCAATAAAATAATAATGTAATATTTTATTTAAACTTACTAAAATTTTTTTTGTTCATCATTTGATTCCAGTGCCTTTAATTCCTCAACATTATTTACAGGTATTTTTAAATTAGATCTATCAAAATAGCTTTTATCCTCATTATTAAATCCTCTGTTATTTACCATTCTGATTAAATCAACAAGATATTCTTGGTTTTTGGCAAGGTCTACTTTCAATGTTTCATTGTCCTTTTTTAATACATTTATCTGCCCTGAAACTGATAAAAGAGCTTAATAAAATAAAATGTATTTAAAACAAATATAATTTAAACTGTGATGTATACCATTTTTTAAGACATGACCAATATTCATCAACATTTGAGTAGTTTCTGGTACATGATCATCTGTAAATAGTATGTAATTAAAAAAACAGTTGTCAACATATTTAACAATTTAATCGATTAATGATAATAATATAGATTATTACCGCGGATAGTTATTGGCTGACTATTATCTTCTACTAATGACTGATCTTTAACTAATTTTTTAATAACCTAATAAAAGTTAATTATAAAATTATATTATTTTAGGTAATTATTTTCACAATACCTGTTGGTTGTGGAACTGTATCTACAACATTTTTAAATTTGGTGTTGAATATTGAGTCACTTTCATCACTATAATCAATAGTTACTTTTTTGTTTTGTGTTTTCTTTTTACTTAAAAATATAAAACCATTAAAGTATTTAAGTATAGGTATTAGGTAATATTTGTAACACAATAAAAAAAAATTACTTAAATAGGTATTCAATTTTCGTTTTTCTTTTTAAGAGTCATTATTAAGATCTTCGTCACTGCTATATGAGTTAAAACGTCTCCTCTTTATATGTTTTCTACGGTTTTCTGTACCTTCTATTTCTGTTGAGCTGGTGTAACAGAAATTTAATATTTATTTCTTCGCCAATGCATGAGTTTCTGTCAATAGTAAAATAAAATAGTTTATCAAATTAAACATTACAATAATTGTATACTTTTACCAACCAAAAGATTTACGTGGAAGGCAGTCATGTTCTTCCCACGAATTAACTGGATTTTTTTGTGATAAAATAAACTTAGATACGTTTTTGCTTCCAGGCCAACAACAAATAAAACGCTTTGATATATGATCAACTTTGATCCAACTACAAGGTACCACTTCAATAGATTGTTCATTTAAAAATTCAATTATAGCAAATTTACTTTGATTGATTTTAATTTTGATAACAATAAAATTTGCTTCTAAATAARAATCTATAAAATATGAGAGAAAATAAACATAGGTACACTAAAAATATATGACTTTTGTACAAATAAAACCATCATCAAGAAATAATATATAACATTAAAAGCAATAAAATTAATTTACAGGTTATATCTAGAACCTGRCCAATTTTTTTATCCCAATTATAATCTACTTTAACATTTTGTTCAGCTTTTTTAGTTCTATGTTCAGTTGGCCAWTACCATTCGTACATTTTTCCAACTATAGGATTTCCTGACTCCTTATTAATTATCCATGACTTTGGAACGATTGTTTGGATATTTTCATTGTTGACCGAGGAAACAATGATTAAGTAGGAAATGGTATTCTTCATAATTATAGCTACTAAAAAAAATAATTCATTACAACCACACAATTATGTTAATATTATTTCTATTCTTAACTAGATATACCTGATTAACAATTTGTATGTAATAATGTACATACATTGAAAGTTGAATGTKGAATTATATTAGTAGTTGGAAAATAACAGGCTTTAAATTTAATACTATTCACATGATATAATTTGAATGTAGATGACAATTTGCTACATTCATACATTCCAACAAACATAGATGAACATGGGAAATTATAAATTGGGACAACTTTCTCAAATATAGAACAGACTATAAATATGTCACCATTTCTATTTATGACTTTTTAACTAGGCCCACTTTATTTGAGGCCATAATAACACAATCATCTCATTTGTTAGACCTACGTTTTATATTTACTATTCGTATAGTAAATGTTTTCATARACAAAATCGAATACTGACTAACTGAATCACAAGAAATATCTTCAGGTAAAGGACCATTAAAATGATAACCGTCTAGAATGGGATAATTAACTAATGATTCAAAAATAGAAGATTCACATGCACGTTTTTCAGTGATACGGTTATAAAGTTGGGTTAAAGGAAATCGACCTGGTTRTATTATTTTTTTTAAATGTTGAAGATAATTTTCATATGGAAAAGAAGAAAAGTTATCCAAAACCCCATATTTTTTGGCATCTTGTGACAAATGAATAAGAGAATGTACACTATAGGAAACATTTCCGCGGCCATAAATCAGACAAAATGTTTTTACAAAATGCTTGC